CGTCGTTCGATTGGCCGGTGGCGAATCCGAGTCTGATACATAATCGGACGATCTTCTGTGCAGTCTCCTTCTAGGAGGGTGCTCCTCCTGCTTCCTCTTTTGCGGCATCTTCACTCGGTTGGTTGATGAAAGAGAAGGAGTGAGTGGCTTCCGCCTGCTTGATTAGGAGTCTGGGAACAGATGGCTGCGCGGAAAATACAGCGTCTCTCAGAAATTCTGGTGCTGGCCTGTAGTCGACCTGCGTCCCTCAAGCCTGCTGGATGATCTGCTGAAACCAGGGGCCTGGTCCCTGCCTGAGAAGCTTCTGGAGAAGAAGATGCGATGTATCCGTCTTGCCGATATGCTGCAGAAAGCCTTGGAAGAAGAAAGCGATGGGAGTGGCGAAGCCGGGAAGCCTTCCGATGGAGGGGAGGTTCTCGACAAGGCTTAGTAAACCGCTGTTTGCCCAAAACTTCGAGGAGCTGTTCTTGAGTGAGGCAAGACACGGGGCAAAACAGTAGAAGGGGATGCGCAGGTCGTGAGCGTGCCTTTCCTTGAACTCAGCGAGCTGCGCGCTTACCTGGCTTCATTCCAGATCCGTTAAGGTGTTCAGACTGTGAGTGTTGAAGGTGACGAGAGAGAGGATGAGGTTGGAGAAGAGGGAATCTGAGAATAATTGTGCTGCCTGGTCGCTATATAGAAAGAAACAGGAATGCGCGTGAAGCAGGCTGCATGCTCAGCGAATTCCAGTAGATCCGAGACAACTAGAGTGGAACCGAATGAGTTTTCCGCCAGGCTGTGCTGGAGGGATAGGGCTGAAGGGGGCAGTACGAAAGGGGAGAGGGAAAGATGAAGCGGGAGGAGTGAGGCAGTTGGTGGGTCGAGGACGAAAATCCTCTTGATATCCTCGCTAGAAGCTGTGAATGGTAGAGATAGAGACGAGGTGAAAGGGGTGATGAGAGATGAGAAAAAAGAAAAAAGTTGGTCGGTGGGTGTCTCTTCGTGGGACTGGATTGTGAGGTTGGATGGGAAAAAAGATAGTAGGAAGGGGTCAAATAATGGGGATGAGGTGGATGGCGGGAATGGAACGATGAGGACGTGGAACGGGGTTGCGGGTTCTGGTTCGGGGGTTGAGAGACAGGAGGGGGTGGGTCGGCAATCCTGCAGGCAGACGGGTTCATGATTGGTGGATTAGGAGACTGACGGGTGGCTTACCGGAACTGATGAGACTGGTGGACAGGGACTGACCGAGGGATGACTGCATTGGAGACGACTGACAGACCAGGAGACTTCTGGGCTGACTGGCAGCGAGACTGCGTTGACGGCGATCCACAGATGACGCGACCAGACGACAGCGACCTTGACTTGTAGCCCTTGCTGGACGTAGGCAGGCGACCAGAGTTTCAGCAGGTGAACTAGCAACTACTACGGAGCTCAGGCACTGATCGTAAGCGCATGATAATTTTTTTTTTTGAAGGAAGGACTCGACCTCAGAGGAACCTGACTCCTGTGTGGCGTGCACGCAGGTTCGCGTTTGCGATGAATGCTGCGGGCAGCCGGGGCCTGGAAGGCGCAGCACGGAAGAGCACTCAAGCCATTGTGGCTGGACAAACGCCTGTGACTTATACAGTCGCGGGGCAGAGCAGCGGGACCGGGAGGGCCAGCGAAGCCGTGCTTCAGCCTGGGTAAGTTCCACAATTTCGACTTGCACAATTGCCCCTCTGGTCCCTGATGAATGCAGATCCTGGATTGGCAAGATCAATGGGTGACAGTGATGCGGAGGCGAAACTGAAAACCAACCGCCGCTCCTGCTGGTCCCAACCGATATTGTTGATGCTGTAGGCCGATGATCCTTGCTTGTGGCATCTGATCCCTAGGAAAATGGGTCGTCGTCAGGGCTGAGAACTGGCACAATGTCTTTCCGTAGCCAGCCTTCTGCCTGATGGGTGGTAAGAGCCCCATTGACATATCAGTAGATATAGATGAGCTCTTAGGACACCTAAATAATTCATTTCAGATGTTTTTCGGGTCTTACTAGTCCCGTCAAAAGCGCAGCTGGCTAAAGCTGCCAGAGGTGACTATTCGGGTTGAATTGTGGGGACCCCGGCCCCGTTCTTTCACGTTGGCAATCAAACAAACATACTACAAAAAATATATATATATATATATATCGTCACAAATAGATATATATATATCGTCATATATATATATATTCGGTCTAGCAATCTGATAGGCCCGTTGGTAGTGCCCCTGCGGCAAGGTCCCACTCGCAAAGAGGATTGGCTTGAATGCCAGAATGTAAAGTGTTTCTGGACAAGTGCAGATCACGTATATTGGTCTGCTTTTCTGCACCTATGGGTGAAAACACGTCGAGACTCGGGCACACGAAGCTCGCTCTTCTCTTTCCTCCTTTCCTTTGGCGTTGCGATATCATCAATGTACTGACCGGCCACAGGTATATCAGGAATGATGTTGTTCTGTGCATCTGAATGCTCAGCCCTTGTTTTTTTTTTTTTTTTTTTTTTTTTT